TTTGCTATAAATTCTCATTTTACTTTTTAATGTTAACAAAACGTAGTTTAGAAGAATTCTCGAATCTGTATTTTAGTTGTTCATCCTGAATTCAAGCAGTCAATGAGAAATGTAGTATGGATAATTGATTAATTTAAATTACATATGGTATGTTTGTGTTATACTGTACCTATTTAATGTTCCCCTAGATAACTTGAATTTTTGAGTGGGGGAGAGGTAGAGAAATGTATCAGGTTTCTGTCAGAACAAAATTTGTAAGAGAAAATAGCTAAATTGTATGTGTATGCTGCCATATTGATTAGGGTAAAAACTTTTTTACTACTGCTGCAGAGGAGTTTAAATGTCTTAATGCTCTAATAGAGTTTTAGGAATATAGTTTTGTTTTGTTTAAATTATGACTTTTTGTGCTTACTTCACAATCAGTCCTGGTTACCGAGAGATCTGTGTAAACAGAAGCAGTCTCCTTCTTGCTCGGATTGCTCTTTTTTTGTGTGTGTGTGTGATGTCAGAAATCCATTATGTTTGACATCAAAATTGTTTCCATGGCGAAGCTGCCACAGTAAAGTGCAGCATCATTGAATGACCCTGAAGAAAGAAGGGTGGATCCAGAAGAAGGCTTACAGGGGTAATTTAGACAGGCAGTTAAGTTCTGCTTAACCAAAATGCCCTGGATGAATTCCAATTTAACAGCCTTACTCTTTTAAAAAAAAAAAGTCTACTAAACATCATCATAGATAGCAGTACGGTTTCCCAAACAGCATGCTGAGTTATTGTTCTCTTTTTCAGACTAGAGTGCTACTACTGAATTTTCAGCCTCAGTTTTTGGAACACCCGTGTTTCCCATCAAAATGTCATCTGATCTTACGAGATACAATGTGAATTGGTTACAAAATGGGTTAAACCACAATGATTGAGAGGAGGCGGAAGAGGAAATTGCAGAAATAGTACATGATAGCTATGTTTTCTTTCTTCTTAACATTGTGGATCTTTAGAACAGGAAGGAATATAGCAGTAGTTCTTTAAAAGAACAGGAACAAATTTGCATGGAAACACATAAGCCTGAGAGTACCTGGGGTTCTTCATTCTTTTTCTAAAACAATGAGGAGTCCTTGTGACACCTTAGAGACTAACAAATTTATTTGGGCATAAGCTTTCGTGGGCTCTAACCCACTTCATCAGATGCATGGAGTGAAAAATTCAGTAGGCAGGTATAAATATACAGCACGTGAAAAGATGGGAGTTGCCTTACCAAGTAGGGGGGTCAGTGCTAACGAGGCTAATTCAGTCAGGGTGGATGTGGCCCATTCCCAACAGTTGACAAGAAGGTGTGAGTATCAACAGAGGGACCATCCTAATTGAATTGGCCTCCTTAGCACTGACCCCCCACTTGGTAAGTCAACTCCCATATTTTCATGTGCTGTATATTTATACCTCCTTGTTGTTTTTGCTGATACAGACTAACACGACTACCCCTCTGAAACTTTTTCTAGTTGACGCTGTGCTTAAAATTGCTGCACAAAAGGTTTTTCCTTCCTCTACAGTAATCTTTGATATGATAAATTTTGTTTGACTTTAGTACACCAATATGCCTAGAAGAATTATTAGCTGGCTGCGTGAGTACAGATTTGTACAGACTGAGTATAAGTAAGCTGGTCCTTTTCTGATATAAGAAAACTAGTCATCTAAATAAAATAGTTTTCAGAAGATGGATTTTCTTACTCAGTTTTACTCAATAGGCTCAGCAATCTATTGGCAGATCAGTGGGCTGTTTCTCAGAGGGCAAGAGTTCAGATCCCCATGCATCTTGGGTCAGAATCCCTCCCCTCCCTAGGGAAGTGACCTCTTACAATGGTCTCAAGTTTATTCTCTTTTTGTTAATACTTGGTTGTGTTGATGGGCTCCAGAAGGAGCTCTTTCCTCAGTTGCTGTTGTGAAGGTCTTCTGAGTAAAGGAAGAGTTTCCAGATAAGACTTTTCCCTCTTCTTTTTTCACCCCATCCACTTACACATGAAATTCTGAAATTGCCTTGTTTCTTTTCCATAACAAATTAGTCTCACATCTTTCCTGATTGGAGTTGGCATGACAGAGGGCTGGCTCAGGGTTTCCTAGCCAGGACCCTGTCACACGCTTCCCCCTTATGAACCGCCATGTTGGTCCTTCGTCGGCCTCTCCGCCTCCTTCTGGTGGGGTTCGTCTGGGGAAGTCTCTCCCCCTCTTTCGGGTGATCACCTGCGTCGTCTCCTGGGGGTTCCTTCTACATAGGCTATGTCTACACTACAAGTGCTCTAGCAACGCAAATGCTTCCTTTCATGCTTACAAATTGAGTATGAAGGGATAGATCTCTAATTGGTTTTGTCAAGCACTGAAAGAAATTTTAATATAACAGTTTTCAGAGTACTGGACATTGCTGCTTTAATTTTAAGGTCTGATGCCTTTATTACCTATGATCATAGTTTTTAATCAGGAATCCTCTTTGAGTTGTTTTATTGCAAAAGGCAGTTTTATTCCCTCTACAGTTTATAAAGTGGAAGAATTGAACTTTTCAACCCCATATATGTTACTAGTGAGGCCTTGAAAAATATACCTAAACTTACTTGTATGAGGATTAAGCTTTCCAGAAAGATGAAAAAAAATCTTACCTAGACTGGGAATCTGTGAAATGCTACAAAGAAGAGATAATAAAAAACGTAGAGCATATGATTAGGTTTTGTGCTGTGTTGCTTGTTCTACCTTGTTGGATTTTTAAATTCAACACTTTTGTGGCTTTATTGGGGTTTCGTCTTGTCAGATTGTCCTCTTATTTCTCCCGTTCTCATTTGGTATTGTGTTGTGGTTATTTGTGCAGGATTTGGACTAATTAGTTGTTGCCTTCATTTCTTTACCCAGTTTATTCCATGACTTATGCAGACAAAAAAGCTAACTTTAGGCCATGTGCATTCTGTGATACCTTGTTGTTTGTTACTAATGACCACATGAGATCATTAGCTGAGGGGAATAATCTAAACCAGGGGTTCTTAAACTTCATTGCACCGCGATCCCCTTCTGACAAAAAAAAAAATTTGCTACATGACCCCAGGAGGGGGGACTGAAGCCTGACCCCACCTGAGCCCCGCCGCCCAAAGCCCGCGTCCCACCACCTCAGGCAGGGGGGCACAGCCAAAGCCTCAGGGCTTCAGCTTGTGGCAGGGAGCCTATAACCTGTGCCCCACCACTGAGAGCTGACACCCTCAGGCTTCAGCTTTGGCCCTGGGCAGGGGGGCTCGGGTTTTGGCTTCAACCCTGGGCCACAGCGAGTCTAATGCCAGCCCTGGCGACCCCATTAAAACAGGGTTGCAACCCACTTTGGGGTCCCGACCCACAGTTTGAGAACTGCTGATCTAAACTGATATTTGCTTTCCATCAAATTCAAAGGAAGTGTAAGGGCTACCTCAGACTCCTGCTGTTGGAGTAGATTTTTAAAGCCCCATTCTGCAGTCCAGTGCTGAGGATCTGTAAGGGAGCCATAAAGGAACTCTTAGGCTTGGTCTACACTGGGGGAAAGGGGGAGATCGATCTAAGTTACACAACTTCAGCTACTTGAATAATGTAGCTGAAGTCGATGTACTTAGATTGACTTACTGTCAGGGCCGGTGCAAGGAAGTTTCGCGCCCTAGGCGAAACTTCCACCTTGCGCCACCCCCTCCGCCCTGACCCCCCCCCCCGGCCAGCTCCCTCCCCCTCCTGCCCTGAGGCGCCCTCCCACTGCAGCTCCCCACCCCAGCTCACACCTGCTATGCCTCCTCCCGGAGCATGCCGCCCCCGCTCTAATTCTCCTTCCCTCCCAGGCTTGCAGCGCCAAACAGCACTCCGGCATTGCTGTCCTGTCCCCCTCCACCCACTTTTACCCACTTTTTTGATAGTGGGTCTTCCTGACCTACTACCAAAACGAGGGCAGCAACAGATGTTGATGTGGCTTTGCTGGCGCTAATTCCAGAGCAGCTGCCAGTGTAGACTACAGCAGCACCGGAAGTAGGATAAAGCTCCCAGGTGGAGTATCTGCTCTTCGAAGAGGCTTTGCAGAAGAGGCAGCACTATGAGATCAATTTTCACTTCTAAGATTTGTTTAACACTGCTCAGCAAGTCTACAAAACACAGTGCTCCCACTGTTATCATTGGTGGACCTGAATTGGTGGTAACAGTGGGAAATTTTAGAAAATAAAGTCTCTGAATGTAAGCAAGGCTTTTATGTTCTTTGAGGCAGGAAATCATTTACTTACTTGGGAAAGAGGGAAAATAATGTTGTTCAGTCAGTTTCTTGATTTTTGCACTGGTCGGATTATTTTTTCAAACTTGAATCAGAGCATTATGTTAGTGTAACTCTCTTCTGTTTATTTAAACTGTCTTATATGATTCAATTATGATCAACATTAGTTTGGCTTTTAAAAGTACAGCTATGACTATCTTTAATTTCCGCCTGTATTTTGGTTTCCATTTTTGCTTCTCTCCGCCTTACTCATACCCTCCCTCAGCCAAACTGCCATTTCCCTGTTTTCTTTTTTTCTGGTTTTACTGTGAGACAGTAACTTTTATCCTCATTTTGCATAGCCTGTATTTGCTCTTTCTTCTGATTCTTAACGTTTTTTGTGACGTATGTCCCATAAGGAATGAACACACTCCACGTAAATTTAGGCTTGTTTTCAGTTGATCATGTCAAAAAATTTTAAACACAAAAATTAATCAAACACACAAGTTTAAAAAAACCACACAAATTAATCAAAAATGTGTTTAAATGAAAAGCAAGCCTCCTAATAGCGCAAAAAAAAAAAATCCTTTCTGGTCCAGATATGTTCATCTGTGTGTCCAATTCATAATCTGCTATTCTAAGACTCTTGTTAAAATTTGGATCCCAATTTCAGTTTAAAGATGAGCAGAATTTTGTGTGCCATGTGTGGTCTAAAACTATGGTTTTGATGTAAACTGTCCTGCCTGTTGATCAACTGATTTTTACTTTTGCCTTTCAGGGTTTTGACCCACCACATCAAAGTGATACACGAACTATTTACATAGCAAATCGTTTCCCCCAGAATGGCCATTATGTTCCTCAGAAATTTGCAGACAACAGAATCATATCATCTAAGGTAAGGATCCATGTACTTTGTCAAAAATATTTGATAAAGAGTAAACATCACTTAGGATGTTATGGAGTATCTGTGCATCTGGTGGTGTGACATGTTTTCACGTCATTTAAAACCGCAAATGATTTCAAAACCAAAGTTTAAAAAGTGAGGCCCCTTCTTCTCCTCTCTGCTCCCATCACCCTGCCCTGCAAAATACAAAAACCTAATTGCACACTGACCAACCCTCTCGGGTAAAATTCCTCAGAAAAGAGATGGGTCTTGATCCATGAGCTCCACTGGCAATTCCCTGAATCACCTCCAGATATTTACATCTGTACTTAGAGAGGGCATCTCTCAAATGACCAAGTCTCAAGCCTGTTAGGTGAAAAAGAGCATGTTCGTGTACAGAACAATGAGCTGCAAACAGAGTTTCCTTCCTGGTGCACAGTCTGGCGGTTGGTGGGGTGCATGGACGTAACTGGTCAGGATAAATATCTTAGTTGGCTGAAGGGTAAGGACAGAAGGCAGCCGATAGCAATGTCTGCTGCAGCAGCAGCCGCAGTAAATCTTTCCCCCTTCCCAATAGCCAGCTCGCAACCAGCTGATTTCCTCCTTCCCACTGAGCCAAGCAGTCCCCAGGGGAACCTCTCTGACGCCGCTCGCTCCCTCCCACCCACCCACACGCATGCACTGATAGGTAGAAAGGTGTCTTCAGCTGGCACTGCCACAGCAGCACAGCTACCTCCATGCCTGGGTTTCTCCCAGCTCCTGGCTTGCCCACAAGAAGGGACAAGCCTTGGCTCTGCCTCACCCCAAAGACAGAGAAGAGTGTACAGCACTTTGGGGAGGGAGGGAGAGAGAGAGAGACGAGGAGAATTAGAAGGTTTTGAGGGATTGGTTGGGGAGAGACTGGGAGGAGATTGGGACGTTTTTGATGGAAAATTTATGCCATGTCATGTTCTATAACCACACTTCTCTTTTTTTTACAGTATACGGTGTGGAATTTTATTCCGAAAAATTTATTTGAGCAGTTCAGAAGAATAGCCAATTTTTATTTTCTTATTATATTTTTGGTTCAGGTAAGTTGAATAAAACTCATAATTTCATGAGACTCCATAGTCTGAATATAGAGCTGGAAACAAGGATTTTCTGGGTTATATTCTCAGCTCTGCTACTCATTCTCTGCCTTGGGCAAATCACTTAGATGTAAAAACTTTTTTTTTTTTAAAGGTCACAATAAGTAGTTAGGCCTCCAACACCCTTGTGAAGTAGTTAAAGGGACTGCACTGAATTTAGGCTCAAATTTGAAATATTATTTTGAGTATTTACAGTTTTTGTGAATTTTAAATCTCCTTAACTTGAGAGCAGCATTTCTTTTCCTATCTACTCTATCAAAGTAGATTTTTATTTACTATTGTTCATGGTCCACTTGGTATCGCCCAATCTTTGTCTGTTATAGTATTCTTCTTGGTATAAATTATGTTTCCAGGCTGAAATCCTGTCTGGGTGTATAATAGCAGTACACAAGTTATCTAGCTCAGACTTGAATTTGCCATATTTTTTAACTCTCTGGTAAATTTGAGAGTAAAAAGATCATGAACAGGCCCTGCTGTGGCCCAAGCTATTTTCTCTAACCTTTAACTTTTTAAAACTCTATGCAAGATTTATTTGGTAGTGCTTCCCAAGGCAATGAGTTAAATTTGAGGTAAACCTAATAACTTTATTAAATTAATATTAATGTTTTGAAATAACTGTTTGCCTCTGTATCCTTTCTCTTTAATACGGTTAGACGCTGTTCCTGCAGTAGAGAAAAACCCATGCAGGCCCATGCACAGATTTTTAGTGTTTGCACTGAAGTTGGCACCACAACAGTGGTAGCATAAATTGTAAAATCTGCAAGATTATCTTGTAGAAGACAGAAAGCAGTACTATGAGCAAGGGGATTGTTTAATTTATGTGCCAGAGATAAAGCCCTAGGAAATTTGTGCTTTCAGTTTTCAGTTTGAATTTAAGATGTCTTTTATCCTACTTTATATTGTTGTAAGCTAGTTCTTTGTATGGTGTAAAAAAGCAGTTTCATATAATATTTCTTAACTCAACCTGGTAGGAGAAAAAAAATTTGTTTTCATTGGTTAAGAATCTTAAAATCAAAATATGTGATGCACACTACCAACTGCAAGAGAAATTCGCTTCTGTGATCCTCACCATGGATTTTCTGTCTGCACTGGATGCCACCTTTAAGGAGAACTTCTGACATCAAGGGGAGTTTTGCACCTAGAATGACTATAGAATATGTAATAAAGATCCTCACTGACTTACACCACATGAGCAAAATTGTGTAAAATGTTATTGCCTTTGGTTTTATAAGATTTTAAGAATAATCTGGTACTAACATTATTCTCATTCTCTTTTCCTATAGCTTATGATAGATACACCTACCAGTCCTATTACAAGCGGATTGCCATTATTCTTTGTCATAACTGTAACAGCCATAAAACAGGTATGAAATTAGCTTAAATAGCATGATTCCTTTTTAAACACTTTCTTTAAATGATGTAGTCAGGATTTGATAGACATTCTAAGCAGTAAAGTGCACACACATAGTTTCTAGAAAGAAATCAGTAAATGTGTTTAAAATGTTGCCCACCAGAAGCTTAAGCTGGGGAGCTCTGCTTAGCTGTCAGGCGCACAATGACTCATTGTAACACCCTTAAATGCACAGGAATGACTGTCAAAAGGCATTTTTGTCTAGGCTTTGTATGTCAGTTGTTATAAGACCATTTCCTAACGCCTCTCACTCATTCGCTTGGCACACCTCAGTACACATTATAAAGGAATCCTCGTACATAATACAGATCAGGAAAGAGACTTGGGGTGGATGATGCATTAAAAGTACCTGCACGATGTTTGGCAGTGGTTAAGACAGCCCCAGGAGTGGGGGGGAGAGCTTTTCTTTCCAGTATAGAATGGTGCCCTAGGCAGGAAAGGCTTAAGTCCTCCCCTGGGGCAGAAATATAGGCATTCACACAGCTGTCAGATGAATGGAGGTAACCACTTTACAGTTGCATATTGATTAGAAGCAGAAATTCAATTAAGATCCTAACCTTACAAAAATAATGTTTGTAACCTAAACAAAGAGCTCTGACTATATTTCACTGTCCCTGAAGTACATTAATGCTGGTAGGGCTTGTGACGTTGTGCAGTCTATATGGTTTTATAAAAACATGATAATAAGTGAATATAATGCAACTGGGATATGCTTTGTGCAAAAGGTCTCTTGTAAGGTATCATTATAAAGCTCATAATCTGAGTGTGATCATCCTATTTGTAGAAATGTACCACTCTTGTATCTAAAACTAGAAATATAAAACATAACTCTGAGGGCCTATTGTAATTATGTAAAGTGTGGGCCATTAATGATGTTTTGGAATCTTGATGACTCCCATTAACCAGGACCATTGTCTGCAGATGGCTGTGTTTATCTGTTAGTCTTCCTGTATGTGTGTGTGCTGGCAAGTGGGCAATGAAGTCTTGCAGTGACATGTGATCATGTCACCTGAACTGGAATCCATCTTTAACCTGGTGCTTTTCCAGTGAGAGGGGGGTGGAAACCCAGAGGGACAAAGGGTTCCCGCCTTATGTAAAAGATATATAAAGGGGTGGAAGAGAACAAAGGGAGAGAGGAGCCATCATGAAGAATCCCCTAGCTATCACCTGAGCTGGAACAAGAGCTGTACCAGGGGAAAGAATTGTGCCCAGGCCTGCAAGGTGTCCAGTCTGAGAAAAACTTACTGAAGCATCTCTGAGGGTGAGATTATCTGTATTTCGCTTGATTAGACATAGATTTGCGCATTTTATTTTATTTTGCTTGGTGACTTACTTTGTTCTGTCTGCTACTACTTGGAACCACTTAAATCCTATTTTCTGTATTTAATAAAATCACTTTTTATTTAGTAATTTACTCAGAGTATATATTAATACCTGGGGGAGCAAACAACTGTGCATATGTCTCTATCAGTGTTATAGAGGGCGAACAATTTATGAGTTTGCCCTGCATAAGCTTTATGCAGGGTAAAACGGATTTATTTGGGTTTAGACCCCATTGGGAGTTGGGCATCTGAGTGCTAAAGACAAGCACACTTCTGTGAGCTGTTTTCAGGTAAACTTGCAGCTTTGGGGCAAGTGATTCAGACCCTGGGTCTGTGTTGGAGCAGACGGGAGTGTCTGGTGCTGGAGTCCTGAGCTGGCAGGGAAAACAGGAACAGGGGTAATCTTGGTACATTGGGTGGCAGCTCCCAAGGGGGTTTCTGTGATCCAACCCGTCACAGGGCTTTTGGGAAGGCTTAATGGTTACCTGCAAAATGGGTTGTTGAATGTTAGTTAATCCTAAGAGATATCTGAGCCATTAGTGATTATCTTTGAGAAGTCATGGAATATGGGAGAGATTCCAGAAGACTGGAAAAGGGCAAATATAGTGCCCATCTATAAAAAGGGAAATAAGGACAACCCGGGGAATTACAGACCAGTCAGTTTAACTTCTGTACCCAGAAAGATAATGAAGCATATAATTAAGCAATCAATTTGCAAACATCTAGAAGATAATAAGGTGATAAGCAACAGTCAGCATGGATTTGTCAAAAACAAATCATATCAAACCAACCTGATAGCTTTCTTTGATAGGGTAACAAGCCTTGTGGATGGGGGGAAGCGGTAGACATGGTATATCTTGATTTTAGTAAAGCTTTTCATACTGTCCCACGTGACCTTCTCATAAATAAACTAGGGAAATGCAACCTAGATGGAGCTACTATAAGGTGGGTGCAAAACTGGTCCCAGAGAATAGTTAGTGGTTCAGAGTCATGCTGGAAGAGCATAACGAATGGGGTCCTGCAGGGATCAGTTCTGGGTCTGGTTCTGTTCAGTATCTTCATCAGTGATTTAGATAATGGCATATAGATAGTACACTTATAAAGTTTGCGGACGATATCAAGCTGGGAGAGGTTGCAAGTGCTTTAGAGGATAGGATTAAAATTCAAAATGATCTAGACAAACTGGAGAAATGTCTGAAGTAAATAGGATGAAATTCAATAAGGATAAATGCAAATACTCCATTTAGGAAGGAACAATCAGTTGTACACACAGAAATTGGGAAATGACTGCCTAGGAAGGAGTACTGTGGAAAGGGATCTGGCGGTCATAGTGGACCCCAAGCAAAATATGAGTCAACAGTGTAACGCTGTTGCAAAAAAAGCAAACATAATTCTGGAATGCATTAGCAGGAATGTTGTAAACAAGACATGAGAAGTAATTCATCCGCTCTGATTAGGCCTCAACTGGAGTATTGTGTCCAGTTCTGGGCGCCACATTTCAGGAAGAGTGTGGACAAATTGGAGAGAGTCCAGAGAAAAGCAACAAAAATGATTAAAGGTCTAGAAAACATGACCTATGAGGGAAGAGTGAAAAAAATTGTTTGTTTAGTCCGGAAAAGATAAGACTGAGAGGGGACATAACAATTTTCAAGTATGTAAAAGCTTCGTACAAGGAGGAGGAAGAAAAATTGTTCTTAACCTCTGAGGCTAGGACAAGAAGCAATGGGCTTAAATGGCAGTAAGGGAGGTTTAGGTTGGACATTAGAAAAAACTTCCTAACTGTCAGGATGGTTAAGCACTAGAATAAATTGCCTAGGGAGGCTGTGGAATCTCCATCATTGGAGATTTTTAGGTTAGATAAACACCGGTCAGGGGTGGTCTAGATAATATGCAGAATTCCCCAAATGACAAGGGTAAGAAGGTCATTCAGGATACAAATTACTGAAGTGATCTTTTTCTGTTTGTGTGACTCCCCAGCCTTCACTGCACCAGTTTCAAGACACAGGTCACAGAACTCCGTAACTCTGTTAGACTGGAGCTGTTCTATAGCAACGTTGCAGTGGAGGTAGTAGGGGGAAGAGAAATAGTGCCTCTTAAAATTAGGGTATTAAAATCCTGCAAGATGGTATGATATTTTAAATCCAATAAGCTTTATGTGACCACTATACACTATCTCCAGTCTTTAGCAGGATTCCATAGTGTGTGAGGCATCACCAGCATGCTATGGTGAAGTACTGTAGAGCAAGCTCTTTATCATGAAAGTGCAACTTACAAATGTAAAAAAAATTTGTTACATAACTGCACTCAAAACCAAAACAATGTAAGACTTCAGAGTCTACAAGCTACTCAGCCTTTTTCTTGTTCAGCTAATTGCTAAGACAAACAAGTTTGTTTATATTTACGGGAGATAATGCTGCCCTCTTCTTATTTACAGTGTCACTTAAAAGTGAGAACAAGCGTTTTCATGGCACTTTTGTAGTTGGCATTGCAAGGTATTTATGTGCCAGGTATGCAAAACATTTGTATGCCCTTTCATGCTTCAACCACCATTCCAGAGGCCATGCTTCCATGCTGATGATGCTCGTTTAAAAAAAAAATGCGTTAATTAAATTTGTGACTCAACTCCTTGGGGGAGAATTGTATGTCTTCTGCTCTGTTTTACCCGCATTCTGCCATATATTTCATGTTATGGCAGTCTTGGATGATGACCTAGCACAGGTTGTTCGTTTTAAGAATACCTTCACCGCAGATTTGACAAAACGCAAAGAAGGTACCAGTGTGAAATTTCTAAAGATAGCTACAGCACTTGACCCAAGGTTTAAGAATCTGAAGTGCCTTCCAAAATCTGAGACGGATGAGGTGTGGAGCATGTTTTCAGAAGTCTTAAAAGAGCAATACTCCAATGCGGAAACTACAGAACCCGAACCACCAAAATAGAAAATCAACCTTCTGCTGGTGGCATCTGACTCAGATGATGAAAATGAACATACGTTGGTCCGCACTGTTTTGGACTGCTATTGAGCAGAACCTGTCATCAGTATGGACGCATGTCCTCTGGGGGAATGGTGGTTGAAGCATGAAGGGACATATGAATCTTTAGTGCATCTGGACATATGAATCTTTAATACCTTGCGATGCCGGCTACAACAATGCCATGTGAACGCCTGTTCTCACTTTCAGGTGACACTGTAAACAAGAAGCGGGCAGCATTATTTCCTGCAAATGTAAACGTATTTGTCTGAGTGATTGGCTGAACAAGAAGTAGGACTGAGTGGACATCTGTTTTATTTTTGAATGCAGTTATTTTTGTACATAATTCTACATTTGTAATTTGAATTTTCATGATAGAGACTGTACTACATTACTTGTATTAGGTGAATTAAAAAATACTATTTCTTTTGTTTTTTACAGTGCAAATATTTATAATCAAAAATAAAGTGAGCACTGTACACTTTGTATTCTGTATTGTTATTGAAATCAATATATTTGAAAATGTAGAAAACATCTAAAAATATTTAAATAAATGGTATTCTATTATTGTTTAACAGCACAGTTAATTGCGATTAGTTTTTTTAATTGCCCGATTAATCACGATACATTTTTTTATTCACTTGACAGCCCTAGTTCCTAGTGTGTATTCTTTTTAGCAGTTGTGTTGCTCAGAAACAAGAGAATTGTAATGGCACTGGGATTTACATGACCCAAATAAGCCTTCCCTTCTTTCTTCTTCATTGTTCCACACCCTCAAAGAATTGGGTTAGCCTTCTGAGTATTAGAGGAGTATTTGCAATATAACACTATAAACTTGGAAACACAGAATACGGTATTTCGGATTTTTTTCTCCATTCATTAGTCATGTGTGGGATCCTCCAATATCAGGTCATTTTTTAAATAAAGTGTTCTGTATCCAGAACACTTGAACCCAAAAGAAAAAAACCTCATGCAGTGGCTGAATTAAGAGTATAATTGGGCAAAATGCTTCTATTTTATATATAATAAACACCATGTATGGAGGTGATATCCATTTTATAAATTAAGAACCAGTTGATAGATGATAAACCTATCATACCCCTTTGACAGCCTCAATAAACTTTCCATAGAAATATTTCCTCTGTCAATCCCCTCAAATTAACACTAGTCCAAGGTTCAGGACAAGCAAGATTTAGTTTTGTATCAGTAACAGCTTTTCTATACGTGACTATAAAAACATTCAGGTCCAATATCTTGCGGCATTCCAAGGTCAGAAACAATCTCATTAGGGTGGTGATATTCCCAGCATTTCAGTGAGACCCAGTACTCACTTCTAGGCTTGCAAGGTTCCAAGAAAGCAGACTGCTTTGTCACATTTTTATGGATGGAAAAGCAATTCAGATCGCTTTCCAGGTTTTTTATGGCTGCTTCTGACCTCTGTACAGTTGAATTCATGGTAACTAATGTCCCCAGCTTTGCAGATGGAAAGAGAGATGAAAATACACACAACAAGATGTCTAAAAAATCCTCTAAAACATCCCTAAAATAGATTTCTATAATATTGCATATGACAAGTATAGAATACATGTTGGCGTATAAGATATTGGAGGTAGCACTGCAGAGTTGGTTGGCTGTTTTGTCCATTTGAGGCAAAGTAAGGTAATGAATCTGTTTCTCCGGCATCAGTGGAAAGTGACTTTTCCACATTAAATGAACATACCCTTGAATATTTGTCTCTCTGAATTTAGTATGTTATCAAAAGTACCCTAGATTTTCACAGAAAACGGATCTTTTGCTGTAATCCTTAGAGGTAGTTGATGAACACACTTTTAGTACTTTGAGTAGCATTTAGTTTTTTATATAGAAATGGTAAATATAAATCTGCTGCAGGCTTAGCTTTTTATCAAGTCAAACTTTTTAAAATTTTCACATCTGAATGTTATGCACAGCTGTGAGCTTGCTTACTCGCCCACTAGGCCTACTTTTGTAACTTTGAATTGAGAGTACAATACACACACACTTGTGAATGAAACATTGGTAGAAAAATTATTTAACGGTGAATCATAGCCAGAGTTAGTCAGGAAACAGCAAAATACATTGCTGTTAAAAATTACTGGCTCAAGAACTTCCCTGTTATATACTTAGATTTTAAGCTTCTTGGGGCATGGACTGTCTTTTTGTTCTGTGTTTGAGCACACCTAGCACAATGGGATCCTGGTGCATGACTGGGACTCCTAGGCATGACAATAACACAAATAATATTAACATTAACCTTCGTTTCAGGAATACAGATAGTTATTGAATTCATACGTATGCTGCCGGATCCATTGCCTCCTGCATATCAATAGTATCTTCCAGGATATACCTATTACTGTCTGACCACAAATTTATTGGGAGGTGTACAAGTAAACAAGCAATATGTTAACTAATGCACAAAGAAAATATAAAACAGGACATGTACCCTCTGATTTTTTGATATCTGGAGGAAAAAAGTTAGTTTGTCTTCTCTATTAAAATTCAGGTTGATTAGTCAGTCTAAATTATTGCCCTGGCACAGTCTGGATGAATTAAAACTTTGTACCTGACTATTTTTCTCACATACACTGTCATCTCCACTTGCTCAACAAAACATGAACGTCAACTCCACACCGTTGAAGTTAAAATCCCTTTGCCTCGGCTGTTGCTTAGAAAGACACTAGAGCAAGCTCTTTGGGAATTGCATAGTTTAATAGAAAAGGGGGTTATTTTAATAAATCAGTAAATGAGACTGTGGGAATGATTGGCTGTATTCCCTACTCAGTTGCCTTAATCCACTTAGACATTGTGATGCTCTCAGGTTGCATGAGCAGTTGTTTTAACTCTTCTTCAGGAACCTTCACCTCAGATATTTTTGTTTTAAAATAGTAATAACAGATTCCATAATTCTACATTACGACTGTACAGTGATGGGTGCAGTAGAACCTGAATAGAACAGAGGTCCTGTGCAGTGGTTCCCAAACTTGTTCCACTGCTTGTGCAGGGAAAGCCCCTGGCGGGCCGGGCCAGTTTGTTTACCTGCCACGTCCGCAGGTTCGGCCGATCGCGGCTCCCAGTGGCTGCGGTTTGCTGCCCCAGGCCAATGGGAGCCGCTGGAAGCGGAGGCCAGTACATCCCATTGGCCTGGAACAGCGAACCATGACCACTGGGAGCTGCGATTGTCCGAACCTGTGGACGCGGCAGGTAAACAAACCGGCCTGGCCCGCCAGGGGCTTTCCCTGCACAAGCGGCGGAACAAGTTTGAGAACCACTGGTCTAGTGACATGCTCAAGGTCAAACAGCTGGTTGTTTGCAAAGCTATGGTGCCTCACAGTACTCTGTGACTCTTAGAAAAGTATATAGCTGTTAGGTTTCTAGTTTAAAATATAACGTTCAATCTTGTATTTCTGCAGGGTTATGAAGACTGGTTACGACATAAAGCAGACAATGAAGTAAATGGAGCTCCAGTTTATGTTGTTCGAAGTGGTGGCCTTGTAAAAACTAGATCAAAAAACATTAGGGTATGTGTCTAATAACTAGTAAAAAACAATGTATTTCTTTTTTAGAACTATAGTTATGCCAATTAGTTCATTTAAGCAAAATGCTCATTTGCTGCTTTGCAATTTTATGTAGGCCTATTGCATTATAATTCTGAATAACTGTTAAAATTAATTCTTAATCTATTCTTTTTCAAAAGCATACTCTCATTTGTATTTATCTTTTCAGGTGGGTGATATTGTCAGAGTAGCCAAAGATGAGACTTTCCCTGTTGACCTTGTACTTCTGTCCTCCGATAGAGTGGATGGTTCGTGTCATGTTACTACTGCTAGCTTGGATGGAGAAACTAATCTTAAGGTTGGCAGTCTAAACATATGCAGTTTTCTAGTATGAAATGCAACATAGAAATAAGTCAAATCAACTTTCATCCTTTGCTTCCTTAAATTTCTCTGTTAATGACTCAAATGGGAGGTTTTTGTGTGTCTAATTTTACTTTTATTAAAAATTTCTTGCAGCTTCCACAATGTGCTAGCAGTTTTACTAAAAGTAGAGAGAGTGTCTAGGCTCTGTACTTATCGAAATATAGCTATTTTTTATTTTTACTTATTTAAGCACATAGCAAGGCTATTTTAAAAATCACAATACGTCATAATCTGCTGTTTTACCTTGTTGTGCTACACATAGGATCTTATTCTGCCACCCTTACTCAAACTGAGTAGTACCCAAGCCCCTTGAAATCAATGGGCTTTTAAAGTAAGCTGTACTACTCAATGAGAGTAAGAGTAGCAGAATCTGACCTTTAGTTATTAGGTATGTCTTAATATATCAGAACTGTAGTATCCCTGTTTATTTTTCTTCGGTTTGAGCTGCAGTATATTAATAGGACCAAGAATCTTGCTTGATCTGCTAATGTAAGAAATGTTATAAAATGATACTTAATGTGGGTTTTCTCTGGCCAAGTTAATCACTTTTAAGGAACACTATTGCAGTACTTTAAATGGCAGTTTGCAATGTCACAGTGGTGAAACATCTGTCAGTATACAAGATGTGATGCTTTCATATACAAAATCCATGACCCTTTTCGGGGTTCCAGAGGCTTTACTTGACCAACGAAACACCAGCAAACTAGTACTGTTCTGTATCATTGAGAAATTCTCATATATAGAGATGTGTGTTTTTCAGACTCATGTTGCAGTCCCAGAAACAGCAGTATTACAGTCAGTTGCCAACCTGGACACACTCGTAGCTGTTGTCGAATGTCAACAGCCAGAAGCAGACCTATACAGGTGTCATTTTATTCTTCATAATTTCAAAGTTGATTTAAAAGCAAAATTTCTGATGGTTGTTAATGATATGGATCTTGCTGAGAGGAAAGTTTCTCCACATGTATTGTTGTACATTTCAGGTTTTATTAAACAAATTTAGGAATTTGTATGTAAATCCCTATGATGCTTAAAGCTACAAAAAGAGAAAGAGCCTTCTGATTTTTATTGTTTACATTTTAACACCAGCATGGTTCTACATCGCTAGATAAGCAGTAAATTTGTTCACAAATTTTAAAAGTAATGGTGCTTGAGCAGGAATTGTGGAAAAAGACGAGCTGTATATGGTTCTGCCAAAACACTTCAGTCCTGAATATTTAACACCCCCTTCTTTTGTTCTAAATTTAAAGTGTCTCAAATTGTGTGCTTTGTGTTAATTTTCCACTAAGAACATATACCCCAAAATTCACTTTCATTTACAGCCTAAGCAGGATTTGAACTATGTTTCCCAGCAGCAAAAGATTAGTTTAGTAAATCATTAACTCACCAACATGTCTCATTTAAAAGCTACAGTCAGCAAGCAATGTGATAAACTTGTTATGAAAACACCCTTTTAAAAAGTTTATGTTATGTAGGTCTATGGCCCTGTAAATATTTCTGACTCATAGCATAATATTAACATTGCATTAATTTTTTATTCATGACTAGCTTTAATAGAAGCTGATAACTTTCATGTACATTAGTTTTAGTAATTATACTATATGGAGAGTAGCTTATTTTAACTGAGTGTTTGGTTCCTTGTGGAATTTCAGATTCATAACATGTATATTTGCTTAACTAATTATTGAACACTGAATCTCTTAAGTGGATTGTAACGGTCATAGAATTAGTGATGTCAGTAAGGAGGTACTAAACCAATGATAGTGAACTTTTACAGTCATTTCAAATCAGGGTGTTATAAGGCATACAAAATATATTTGACATTTCAGACACCTAAGAAGTTGAAAGTATGGTTTATTCATCTGCTTTGTTAGATGTGAATTAGTATTCATTTCAGATGGGAAAATGTACTGGTAACTTTGACCTTTTTTTTGGAATTCTGTTTCTTGATTGGAACATGTAATCACTCTGGATTTTTTTTCAAAATTTACTTGTTACCTGATTTCATAAATTGAGTTGTATGGGTTATTTCTAAAATCACTCATTTTCTTGAAAGGGGGGGATGGTTCCTAGCTCTTGTTGATGACTTCTTGAAACATACCTCAGAATTATCACCAAGGTTAATGTATTGCCCATTAATAAAACAGACTGTAAATCAAGGACGGGATATTCCATCTGGCACATAACACATTTATGTCATGCTTTCCTTGCATAAATGAAATAAAGATTTTTTTTTTAATATTGGAGTTTGTACACTAACATTCTGACATATGACCTTTTTTCATAGATTTGTTGGAAGAATAACTATAAGTCATCAAATTGAGGAAATTGTACGGTAAGTAAAATGTTTGTAAAGCTCACTTAGTAAAACTTAAAAACTAAGTTATGGTGATTGAACATGACTGTTATAAAAGAGCATTATCATGGAATGGAAAAGGGTAATAGTTTATTATCCAGATACTAGTTCAACTCCATAGTTAAGGTTGAGTCAAGTAAAACTAGATTAGACAGTTGAAATATTTAAACCTAAATTTACTTGTTTTCCAAAGATTATTTATGGTAATTGTATGTGTTAGCTTCACCACTTGAATTAACTTGCTTTTTGTAAAGTTGGCATTTGAATGTTTCTAAAATGTGAGTATGAAGTTAGCATGTCAAATTTTGAGAAGTGTTGTAATTTACAATTCTGTATCTCATAATGCAATAGATACCCATAGCTTGATTATCAGAGGCACTGAGCAATCTCAGCTCCTGTTGAAATCAGTGGGAAATACTGGCTTATTACCCTGATGGGGCTTTGGTTTTTTTAAACACGTTTAATAAATGTGCACTTTCACTAGGTATTTAACTACTTAAATGTTGCAGAGCATATAATCCCATGTATTGCAGTAAATGCACATCACCTGTTATAGTGAACATGCCTGGTGTAATAGGTTTTCCTGTTCCATTGAAATAAATGGAATATCCATTTAAAATGCAGCAAAAATTATCAAAAGGGTCAAGCAGTAAAGAAGTTCAGAGGTTTAAGAACAGATTTTCAACTGATATTAGCTCCCATATAGGCACCTAAAAGAAGTGCCCAGAGTTTCAAGAGTGCTTAGCACCCAGATTGCAAGTAGAGCTGGTGGGTGTTGAGATCTCTTGAAAAGTTGGTCCTCTCTGTCTTTTAAAATGTGCTTTTGTGCATAATAGATATATTCATTAACAAACCAGTTCCTTCCTATGACTTGTTTGTTATTTTAATACCCAAGAAGTTCATTCTTAATTGTTTTCGTTGTTCAGGCATAGAGCTTTTATCTCTAGGGCCTGTCTTCTGTCCCCACACTTCATACAAGGCTTTGGGCAAATCATTTATTCACCCTGTACTTCAATTTACTCATCTTTAAAATTGGCATATTTACTGAGCTCACAGCCAAATTGGGAGCTTGCTTAATTAACATTTTATATAAATTTTTATATCTTCAGATAGAAGACACTATATAAGTGCTCAATTATAAACTTGTTAAAGAGATTATTCAGCTAAGTGGGAAAAGAGCTAAAAAAAAATCAGAACCAGTTAAGAATGAACTTCTTGGACTGGTTCTGATTTTTCTTTTTTAAGCCCTTTTTCCACTGACTGAATAATCTCTGAAACAAGTTTATAGTTCAGCACTTATATAGTGCCCTTTATTTGAAAATATAAAAATCTTTATAAATGTGAATGAATTGATGCTCTCAATACTGCTGTGAGGTTGGTAAATATGTCAGTTTTAAAGATGAGTACATTGAATAAGGGGTGAAAAAATGATTTGCCTGAGCTCTTTTCCAAGGTCTTGCATGAAGTATGGAGACAGAAGACAGATCTTTCAGCCCCAAAGCCTATGCCTGAACAACAAAAACGGGGCATTCCCAAAGGTTTTCTTTAGGTTGCGACCACATTTGCAGCTCTTCAAAATATATTATTGCCAAGCTTTTCATGTTCAGCTCCAGGATTAATCTCAGAATTAATTCAGTTGAAAACTATATCAGAACCAGTTTAAAGCATGTGTGAAGACACACTTACAACACCACCAGTAGACAGAACTTATCTCTCCTTACCATCAAAAATAAACCAGTTTAGCCTGTACTGCACTGATTTAGCTAGCTCAGAATACACAGTTCAGCTGGTTTTATTGATTGTAAAACCAATTGAGTCCAGCAATATGGGTACAGCTTCTTAAGAGAACATAATTTACCTGAATACCTAAAATCCTCTCTACTTCAAGTGTACTATATTGCATTGTTTTATTTTTTTATTAAAACTTTGCAAATCTACTAAGAAATATTTACATTATAAGAATTTTTACTCAAGTTTGGGTTGAATTCTTTCTAACAGTGATTTTATACGGAAAAAATTTAAAGCAACTGTCACAAACTCAAGTGCATAATTTGCACATGCAGTTACTGTGGTTGTAGATGCAACTATGGCAATTGCTTGTGTAGCTATAGTTAGTCTAACAGAAAAGTTTGTCTTTTGTGAACACAGTTTTTTAAATCTGGGTTATGTTTTCAACTGAACTTGAAGGATAAGACATTTTGTTTATGTAAATGGTAATCATGAGCTATTGTTGCTACTGCTTATGAAAGAGTGAAAAACCAACACTAAGCTGTACAGGAGGTTAATAAGCTGTACATCTTAGTGTTTAGTTTTTAATTCTGGTGTCTGCCCCTCCACTGGAGTTTTTTTCCATTTCAGTTTCTATTGGAACCACTTCAGGCAAAATAAGAAAATTTTACTTTTTTTGCTTGTCTTCAAGCTAACATTTTTGACAGTTTCCAAAGATGGTACAAACACTGGGATGGAACATATACATATCACTCTTACCTTAAATTAACTTTCCTGATAACTACAGCTGTGCTTTCCACAGCACCAGTTTCAGCTAATACAAATTGATTTAAAGGGACCCTTAGAATTCAAAATGTGGTGATGTCCTAGATTTAAAAAATAGCCATTCTTAAATATTGTGCTTTAGCATTTTTTTTTAATGTATCTTTCTTTTTAGACCTCTTGGGCCTGAAAGTCTTTTACTTCGAGGAGCAAGATTAAAAAACGCAAAAGAAATTTTTGGTTTGTAGACATCGAAACGTTTTTAACAGTGTGTCTTCTTAAAACATGTTGATGAGTTGTGGCCTAACTTTCCCATTCATATTGAAGATATTTTAACAGTCCTACTGGGGTTTACCTGTAGATGGGGTATGATTATGGCTGAAGGGGAGGAGACTATGACCAGAGAGCCCTGTGGGATATCAGATTCTGTCTTTGGGTTTAATAATGGAGTAACAAGAATCCATTAGCTAGGTGGCTCTGACACTGCTGTCTGTTTTCACTGTTTAAGACCCACTCTAGGGCATTTATATTCTGACCTCTATACCCTTAATTATATATCAGGGAACAGTACAGATCTAACATTGAGCAGTATTAGCAAGTGCTAAAATTAGTTCCAAAACTCTGCTTTATCATCACAGAATGCCACCGAAATGTCTAACTAGCCTCACCATGGTGTCTGAGTGCACATTACAAGTACCAGCCCCTCTAATTTTTGTAGAAAATACCAAGCTGTACTTGAACAGAAACTGAAGTATGGTTCTGTTTTTTCAGGTGTTGCTGTGTATACGGGTATGGAGACAAAGATGGCATTAAATTACAAGAGTAAATCTCAGAAACGATCAGCAGTAGAAAAGTATGTATGTGTTATACTGTCTTATTTATGTGTAGAATCTAAACTCAGTGTTTCAGCAGTAATTAAAATAATTAATTGCCTATATTTTTGTCAGTACATAGACAAAGGGAGCTATTGTAAATGCTAGGTCTTCTGCTGGCTGGTGTAATTGTAATTTAAATTTCATTTGTTAATACTGGTTATCTAATTTCATCACTTCATTACTTACAGCTTCATTTTGCAATAGTATGCAAAACTAGTTTGATTGCTCTCTTTTACAAGGAAGGATTAGAATAATAAAAATAAGTCAGTTTTTCCTGTAAGGCCCTGTTTGGCAGTCCTTAGGCAGCGACTACCGAAGGCCATGAATGCTACTCCAGAGTAGTCAGGAGGAGATTATTCAAGAGATATGAGGTGCTCCTTTCACCAGAGGTTCAGAGACTGTTTTACAGTAGTCCCAATCTTTGTCACTCTCTTGACACATCCTTTATTAGGAAGTTGCATCCTGCCCTTGTAGTGGGATGAACTCAGTCAAAGTCTTAATCTCTATCTCCTGAATCCTGATTTTTCTCCCCTTCTTATTCCATGTGGGTGCTTGTTCCTGTTACTTGGTCTGCGGTATTAGTAGAGAAGATACAAATTCTGAAAAGGAGCACTAAGTACTCCTTTTACAACCAAAGAGTTAATTATACTAATGTAGCCAGACACAAACAAATCTGTGGGATGCACAAGAAGCTGCTGTATCTTTCCATCCCCGCATTTAACATTTCCCGTGCACTGACATCAACTCTGGCCTTAATGAGTATTGACAGGGTTGAAATGTGGTCACTGTCCAGCTATGGAACTGCATTTTCAGGTAGCGAAAAGGGAGCGGCCTTGGATTGGATCTCTGTATTGGTCTTCCTTAGTTCCTTCGCATTCTGAAGTGGTATTCAGAAGAGAGGGTGTCCTCGGAACAAGGATAATAAAAGTTAATCCCCAAAACTCCAAACAGCAGCTGTTACAGGATACAGATTTTGATACAGTGTTGCACCTTAATCTAACCTTCAATTTACAATAACTGCAGAAATCTACTGTAATTTAGTATACATTTTAGTCAAATGTAGTATTCCATTCCTGTTTGCCATTGTTTCCATTTGTCACATAGAAACTTTTCTATTTGAAACAGACGCACTGAAAATATTTGCCAACAAAACATTTTGTCATAGTTAAATTTTAACATTGCTTTCATACATTAAGGAAAAAACAAAACAGAATACACTGAAATAGTATTTTTGTGTCCTCCTTCTAGGTCTATGAACTCATTTTTGATTATCTATCTAATAATCCTCCTTTTTGAAGCAGTCCTGAGTACAATCTTAAAATATACCTGGCAAGCTGAAGAAAAATGGGATGAACCTTGGTATGACCAGAAAACTGAACATGAAAGAAACAGCAGTAAGGTAATATGTGACTATGTAAAACTACATATTGAGTAAATACACCCATAGATACTAATAGTATGTCTGAACCTTAGAATACTTCCATTCTTGGATTTAGGCATGGCAGCTGCATAGTCTTTCATATATATAGTTGGAAATCAGTATTGCTTTAATCAGAGCCGGTTCCAGCTTTGTTGCCGCCCCAAGTGGCGGGGTGGGGAAGCAGAGATCGGCGGCATTTCGGCAGCTGCTCTACCGCGCCGCTTCTTTCTTCGGTGGCACTTCGGCAGCCAGTCCTTCCCTCCGAGAGGGACTGAGGGACCCGCCGCCGAATTGCTGCTGAAGACCCGGACATGTCACTCCCTTCCATGGGCCGCCCCAAGCACCAGCTTGCTGTGCTGGTGCCTGGAGCCGGCCCTGGCTTTAATTAAACCTTTGGAGGAATCCAGCTTTAGTTTTAGTCCTGTTTCTGAAGTGGGGGAGCGCAAGCTGTCATTTCCTAGAGTTTTTGTTTCTTTTGGCAAGGCCCAGTTTTTGATAGTTTTTGTTTTTAGTAGGGTATATTCACAAGGCTCTGTCGCAGGGTTCTGTGTGTTCATCTCACATTGTTTGAGGGTATCTTGCCCATCCTTTTATGTTAAAACAAAGAAGTTTTGGGGATTTTGCCTATTTTGTGCACTGCCTGTTGCAGTGATTTTATTATCTTTTTTACTTTAGGAAATCCTGTCATGCTGGTATCATTCAAGTAACTTCCCTTTGCCTGTAATTTCACTGCTTTGAAGATATTGCCAGACAGAATTCTCTTTCCTTTAGAGTTTGAAGGGATTCTTTGAAGAGATGTTCTGTTGGATCTTATAGTTTACATCTCTGGAGGATATCCCTCCTTAGTCATGTTTTACTTTTTTATTTTAAATTTCTGACTTGTTTTGCAGGCCTCCTGCTTCCCATGCAGTTCAGGAGCTTATAGGAAAGTTTGGGAGGGGGTGAAATTTTCAGAGGTACAGAGTGGAGTTAAATGCTCATTTCCCGCTGACTCACATTGGGAGTTAGGCACCTAACTTGCCTTTGTAATTTTGGAAATCTCCCCTCTAGACTCTAAAGCAGTGGCAGTTGGTGTGTGCTGACTAGTCATCATACAAATATGCAAAAGGATCCAAATTATTAGACTGAAGAGAGTTCTCCCAGGTTTCACACTGCTGCTGTAAAATAAAATGGAAGAAGATATGAGGAGCTCTCATTCAGGAACCTACAGTTAATGTTGTATTGGTTCCTTTATTATAACACGTGACTTTCCCAAGGGTTCATGATGTGAATGTTCTTCATGATTGAACTGGAAAAACATAAACATAATCTCTTCCCGCTTTAAAACAATCTTATTTAAAATTTTAATTTTGCAAAGAATTAATGAATTGAAGATGTTTCAAAATTGCTCAGTGGCCATCTTTTTAGTATCTGAAACTCCTTAAAGAATCTCCAGTTTTTTGATGTAGTCAGTCAAGTAAAGGTGTATTTTTTTTCTTAATTTGTCTGAAGTAGTTGCTATGTAAATGAGGAGAACTTCTGGGGCCATTGCAGTGTGTTTGGAAAAACAGGATAAGTATTTACGAAGCCATTCCATCCCCTCATCCTCACCTTCAAGGCTATATGTAACCGTGCCCCTTTCTTTGATGTCATTTCCTCCTACTTTTCCTTCTTAATCATCTCTTTTTCACTCTGTTGCTCCCTTTATCTTTCTTCCACTCTTGTCAACCACCCGCCCCTTTATAGCTCCATTAAATATGCAGTTTTTTAAGAATTCCTTCTAGCTTCTGCCGCTGCCTTTTTCCCAAAAAATACCTTCACACCCTCCATTTTCTGAGCTACTACACTGTACCATGTCTTTGTTTATCTTGTCAGTCTTAGATTTGAAAATCTTTAGGGCAGGGAGCCTCTGTTTTGTAAATCACCATGTAAACTTACAGTGCTGATTAAATAGTTATGCCAACATTCCCTAGTTAGGAAGAACACTTTTTATTATTAGCAAAATATTTACTACTTTTCCACTCTATTCCCGCACATTGTTCTCCTACTCCAGTATATTTCAATGGAGTTAAAAGGTATGTTCCAGTTCTTCTTGTCTCAAATATCTCCCTTTAAGCTTTCAGACCTTGGTAGGAATTTCCTCAAAGATAAGTTTAATGCTAAGATTGTCACACTAATTATCAAGATAATATCCAAAGAAACTGTAAAATTGCATTTCATCCTTGATTCACACCTTTTTCAAAGTATGACTGAACTATGTTGTTATCCTTTAATATAGAAATTTCTAGCTTTTGTTACTTTGTATGTCTACTTTAATGTGATCTTCAGTATCAAATGTAAATTATGAATACTATAGATAAACGGTTAACAATGTGGAATATCTATTGCTTTTAACTTGCTTTGCCTTCATAATTTGTGGATTGTTAAAAACAGTCTGTGATTGGCTGTTTTGTGGAGTATGTGGTGTGAGTTGGTCATCTCAATCCAATTCCTAAAAAAAAAAAAAGTGTTCACATTACAGAATTATCAGAACACTTAATATTGCAGCATCCTTTACAGTCTCAGCAGAAAAGACATGGATTGATGGTCTTGAGAACTGAAATATCCTCTCATCACTAAAGGCAGTCTGTCTGCATCAGTCTTAAAGACACATTGCTGGGGCACTGTGGTGAAGCCTGCATTGTTGCTACTTGTGTTGTACCTCTTCTGTGTATATAGAGGACTTCAGTCTCCTCCAGTACAGACAATCTGATACCTTTCATAATGCTGAAACACACTTAAGTGACTACGTTCCGCTTAATGACTCTGATAATCTTTCCTTCTCTCTCTCTCTCTCTCTCTCATAGATTCTGAGATTTATTTCAGATTTTCTTGCTTTTCTGGTACTTTACAATTTTATCATCCCTATTTCACTTTATGTGACTGTTGAGATGCAGAAATTTCTTGGATCTTTTTTTATTGGCTGGGATCTTGACCTCTATCATGAAGAAACAAACCAGAGAGCACAAGTAAATACTTCAGATCTCAATGAGGAGTTGGGACAGGTAACAATAATGTCCATTTTTTACTTTTTGTTTAAATATCAGTGTTAAACAGTAAGGAAAAGTATTAGTGACTTCATATTGACTCTATTTTGAGCAACTCATGAATTTGAAAATAAGATCTGCATATCTGACTTGATGGCAGAAATACATATTTGATTTTTTTTTTTAATGTTAGCAAAGTAAGCTTTGTGATATGGGGAGATGGTAATAATTTTTCTGTATTAAATGTACATGATTCCAATTTGTTTTCTTTCATATTACTCTAGGTGGAGTATGTGTTTACAGATAAAACTGGTACATTAACTGAAAATGAAATGCAGTTTCGGGAATGCTCTATTAATGGCATCAAATACCAAGAGATCAATGGCAAACTAGTTCCAGAGGGGTTGACTGAGGATTCCCCAGATGGAATTAGACAGAGTCTTGTAAGATTTTATTTTTCTTCAAACTGAATAGATGCTGATTAATATTTCAGTTTAAATATTCTCTCTTGGTGTGTTATGTAGAAGAAGCAGAACTTCTGGAAGAATTTCAGGTAGTAAAAGTGATTACAGAAAGTGGTAGATGTAGGACAGTTTGAGAAATTTGATTATTTAAATACCCTATTCTGTGGTACTGTAGAGTAGCACATCTTGTTTTAGAAAGATAAACTTGGCTTATGAACTGCTTTGTCTTCCTTTTTATAGATGAAAGAGGAAGAGCTCTTCTTGAAAGCAGTCTGTCTGTGTCACACAGTGCATATCAGTGCAGATCAAACCGATGGCATTGGTGATGGGCTCTGGCATGCCAATGGAATAGTGTCTCAGCTGGAGTACTATGCTTCCTCACCAGATGAGAAGGCTTTAGTTGAAGCTGCTAGCAGGTGAGTTCTAAGGCCAAAATTGTGACAGGCACAGCATGGCCTACAGCAGCTTCAAAAGTTAACGGAGATTTCACAGCCCTGTGGCTAATTACTACAGTTTACTGCAAAGGGGTTTTATATACCATACACACACACACCATCCAGGCATTTTTTTATATAGAGAGAGTTTTACTTCTGGATCAATTGATAGAAAGTAGGCAGCCCAGGGATGAGGTCAATGGGGTCTGTACACATCACGGTTCCCTGGGCACAAAGAGACTTAGGGGAGCACTTGGAGACTTAGGCCTGGTCTACACCAGGGATGGGGGGGGGGGGGGAAGTCTATCTAAGTTACGCAACTTCAGCTATGTGAATAACGTAGCTGAAGTCGATGTACTTAGATCTACTTACCGCGGTGTCTTCACTGTGGTAAGTCGATGGCTGACACTCCCCCGTCAACTCCGCCTGCACCTCTCACCCTGGTGGAGTACTGGAGTCAATGGGAGAGCGCTCGGTGGTTGATTTATCGCTGCCCGTCAATCCAGCACGTAATGTAGACATGCCCTCAGGCAACTCACATCCTTCACACGTAGACTGTGATTATTCGCCTTTTAGCAAAGTCTTAGACTAGATTCATAATGAGGCATTGGGACATTGCAGAATATTTTACTAACTATTACAATTAAATACTCTGGCTGCAAATGTCTTAGTTTTAATTCTCTAGTTTTATAATACTCCAACCTTAAAATTGGATTGCTGTTTAATAGTTTCATCAGTTATTTTAAAAATAAGTTAGGCTACATTACCAGGACCTGTGAACACTTTGAATCAGTTGATCAAGCTTAAACAAAGCACACTGTTTTAATTGTCATATCTATGTTTTGTTAATATTTAGGAAGATGCTGCTATTGCTGAAATGCAGTTATAATTAGGCTTAGCAAATTAAAATCTGTTATGGAATATGTAAAGTGTATGTTTAGAATAATAAAGCACATAATATACTTTAAGGTAGACTGTAGATCTGTAGAAGTATGTAGTATTGCATCATCTTTACTACAAAAGAGGCATAGAAGTATTGAGTATTTTTAATTTTCTGGAAATTAGAATATCTTTTTTCAGGTTATGTAATACTTTTGCATTATTTAAAAAATGGCTCTTCCACAGAATCTCATGTTGATGAAAATAGCAGGTAAACCTTTTTTTTCCCCCACATTTAGAGTTGGTGTTGTATTTACGGGAACTAATGGGGAAGGTATGGAAGTGAAAAGCCTTGGAAAACCAGAAAGGTATTTCTTTCATATCACATTTATTGTGGTTTTCAAAGGACAGAACCATAAATAATATGGATTAAAATAATGTTATACTTTATATTATCTTTACCCTTCTAATTGGAAAGCATAGAATATTTTGTTCCTCTTGCTTTCCCCGTAACTGCCGTTTTCTGAAACCTTTGCATATGATGTCCTTGAAACGGTAGTATTCCGTCTTTTTTAATGAGAATTAAATACATGTAACAATGGAAGGTGTGGGGGTGTATATGTGTGTATATGTATGTGTGTGTGTGTGTGTGTGTATATATGTATATATATACACACATATACATATACACACACACACACATATATATATATATATATATATATATATATATATAAAATCTACTGGTATGTATGTTACACTTGTCCTCTGTGCCCAATCCACAGATAATCTGAGCCTTGTTACAGTTCTCAGAGAACCTGGTTCTTTAGCTCAAGTTGTAGCATCTCATGCTTTCAGCTCTGGAGGTCCTCAGTTCAGTTCCTAGGGTCAGTCAAGATGGCAACTGTCATACATGCGCATTTTGATCATGTCTCAAATTTTTCAGCAAGCAGTTGAGAATATATGGATATTTGCATTCTCTGCATTATACCATAGAATTTTTTGTCTTGGTCTGATCTCTCTTAGTAATAACATGACTGAGGTCAAAGTTTTCAAACCTCTTAACTTCTTTCAGAACTCGTAAATAACATTTTCAAAAGTGACTTAGACACTTAGGATCCTAAATCTTATTGAAAGTAAATGGGCCTTAGGTTCCTAAGTGACTTAGCACTTTTCCAAATGTTACCCCTTAAATTAATACAAGGTAAGGCAGCAAGCTAGCAGCTAATAGTAAAAGTAACTTTCCAGGCCCAAAGCTAGTATTCAGTAAACAAGATTTCCATTGGAAAAAGAACATACTTAACTCTTGCCAGACAGAGGCTACTAATACACCACTGCTGAAAAATAGCAGTTGAGAAAGTATGGATAATCGTCCCCATTTTACATAGTATAGTTCTTATAGAATGTCTGGAGCAGAATAGGGGTTTGGGAGACATTTTTATAACTTGTATTTAACTGTTTCCTACTGGCATTTGTTTCTAAGAAAAGCTGCTTTCCTTTCCCCTCCCTCTCCCCAGGTATAAATTACTTCATGTTTTGGAGTTTGATCCAAATCGTAGACGAATGAGTGTCATTGTAGAGAGTCCTTCTGGTAAGCAGCCAGGTCTTGCACAAAGTTGTAATTTGTAAACTGCTAAATGGTGCATATGCTCAATTTTTACTCTGTTTTTTCTTAGGAGAAAAGCTCTTATTCACAAAAGGAGCAGAATCTTCCATTCTTCCTCACAGTAGAGGTGGAGAAATAGACAAAACAAGGATTCACGTAGATGAATTTGCTTTGGTAAGTCAAAACATTCAAGGTCTGAACCAACTAATAGATCTTGGTTTCTTGTGCTACTGCTCAGAAAACATAGTGGAAGTGTACAAAGGACTGTGGGTCTCTATTATGTGGAAGGGGTACTGTTTGTATGTGACAGGTTTCAGAGTAGCAGCCATATTAGTCTGTATCTGCAAAAAGAACAGAAGTACTTGTGGCACCTTAAAGACTAACAAATTTATTTGAGCATAAGCTTTCGTATCCCACGAAAGCTTATGCTCAAATAAATTTGTTAGTCTCTAAGGTGCCACAAGTACTCCTGTTCTTTTTGTTTGTATGTGGCACTGCCTCTGCAAGATCTGACACCACCAAATCAGAACAAATTAGTATGTCTTCTAATTTGGTTTGATTTATAACTCAGTGTAATTTATAAAACAAAAAAATTCGGTTTTATAGTTTAAAACTCATTCAGATTTCAGTTTGGCAATTGCATCCTAAGAAGTCACTGTTACGTAAGCCAGTTGGGAACCCATTCCGTCCTTTTCTGGCTGCTGTCTTTTACCGGTCCCCTTGAATCTCTGGTCAGCCCTTTTGTTCCTTCCAATTACAATATCTAGAGTCTTAAAGCTTCATAAATGGCTTAAATCAACTAAAAGCCTTAGTCTTGAACAGATTAAACCACTCTATGTAAGGCTTTAGATTAATTTAAGATGTTTATGCAGCTTTAAGGCCCTAGATAGGTTTAAACTAGGAAAAATGTTCAAGAAAACATAATTTAGGGGGACTAGTAAAGAGTGGAGTCGCATTTATATGGGGAGAAATTCTAAGATTCCATGAGCTCAAATGCCAGCAATTTGCAGATGACACTGAGTTCTATTATTAACATTTTTATGCCAATGCCACCCTCGCCCCACCTATCCCAGAGTCTGGGTGAGGAAGATCTGACTGAAGCTATACCCAAGCAAGGTAGAGGTTATGTTTACAAGCAACAGGAAACACTTAGAAAAGCTTCCACCACACTGAGATCTCCTATTGAGGGAATTTGTTCCCAAATCCTCAAAATTAGACCAGTTTGTCCTTCTAGACTCCTCAGGGTTACTGAACTCTCACATAGCACTGGTTGCAAAACTGAGACTAACTAGGAATCTATAGCCTATTCTTTCCACTGACAAATTTTCCTTATCTGAAGACTTTTGTTACCATCACACAATACTACCACAACTCAAAATATATATACACACAGGTATTAGAAAATTGTATAATCTGCTGTGCTCTGTCACTAGTCCACATTCGGCCTGCCCTTGCTTGTTAAGTCAAATACATTCCTTCTGCCTCTTCTAGGCTTTCCAATATGATTCCTTTCCTTGGTGTCTTCTAGTGATTTATTTTTTGTCTTGTATGGTGCTGATCACATTTTTGGCACTTAACCAAATTTTAGCTTGGTAGTAGTAATCTGCCTTATTTAAAGCAACTGGTCAGTTTTTTAAGGTGTCAATTATGTATATTTATAGGATATAAATATTGTACTTATAGTGCCTTTTTTAGTGCCTTTCATATGCTTTTAAATCATTTTATGCCTGAAAACGTGCTACTTGTTTTGTTGCAGAAAGGGTTAAGAACTTTATGTGTAGCCTATAGAAGATTCACAGCTGAGGAGTATCAGGAAATAGACAGACGCCTTCATGAGGCTAGAACTGCCTTACAGCAACGAGAAGAAGGACTGGCACGTGTATTCAACTTCATAGAAAAGGATCTGGAATTACTTGGGGCTACAGGAGTAGAGGACAAGTATGTTTTGGGCCTTCTGCTGATTCCGCTACAAAAACAAAACAGGCTTCTGTTTTATAATTCCATGATGATGTACCCCTCTTTGTAAAATTATCCCAACAAACCATGAAGTAATAGCTGCTTATCTGCGCTTAAATAAATGCACACATACACTCAATGAAGTCTTAAATGTACTAAACGTGTTGTGCAGCATGAGACTTGATAGTTCCAATAGTGTGCTATGTGCTTTACAGACAGGTTTTCAAATGTCTACCTTGTACAGTGCATTCACAATCAGACTGACTTAAATATATGGTAAGGCTTCCAGATTCCTCCTGGGAAAAACCTGAAAAGTAGATATTCTTGAGGCCATTCTACTTTTATGCTGTATTTTTTTAAAAACTATTTTAATTAGTCTCAAAATAAGTTCTGCTGATTCCCAATTTGAAGTCATAATCTCTTTAACAATAGATTGATGAATAAATTATTGTGATTTGTGTAAGATTATAATTTCAGGGTGCAGATAGAACACTAAAGGGGTTTTCATGTATTTTATGGAAATATTGCTAAAAGTAAAAAAGAAAAATAGAAAAAAATACTGAATATAGGAAACTAAAACTTTTCTTATAAAAGATTTTTCAAATATGTAGAGAAGATCTCATCTTAAAATGCCTTACTGCTGCAAGTTTGAAGTAATTTCACTTAGTAAAGGTAAACTTTTTAGATTATGCTTCGCTGAGGTCTTGATTAGACTGGGTGGAAACAAAATTAGCTGAATACATTTGTGAATAGTGTTAGGAACACCCTTATTGCATCCAAATAAGCCAATTTACAAGTTAAATATCCTACCATATCATAACTGCCTATTTCAAACATGATTTTGTGTTCCTTTTTATCACATGCTTTGTTATATTTAAATATTAAACCCAATCATCATGTGGACTGTTTCTTTGTAGTGAGTTCTACCAGTTAGTGAAGATGTTCTTATTTTCAGACTCCAAGATAAAGTCCAAGAAACTATCGAGGCACTCAGATTGGCTGGTATCAAAGTGTGGGTGCTTACTGGAGATAAGCATGAAACAGCTGTTAGTGTCAGTTTATCATGTGGACACTTCCATAGAACCATGAACATCCTTGAACTTGTACAACACAAATCAGACAGTACATGTGCAGAGCAGCTGACGCAGCTAGCCAGGAGGTAAAGTACCATATGTGGCAATCTGAATGATGTTACTAACTCTGTATTATTTTTATTTCTCAAGTTTTATGACAATTACTCATTTTAATTTATTTACTAAAACATTTCGTTTATATATAAACTTACTCTGACACTAATAAAGCTGTTGCTTCTGAAAGTCTAACAGACACTCTTCTTCTCAACTTGTGTGATTATTTGTTGTGAATATAGTACTTGCTTACTCTGTAACTAAATTAAAATACAATGGTATTTTCAATATAATGACATTTTTTCTCTGAATAGAATAAAGGAGGATCATGTAATCCAGCATGGGCTGGTTGTGGATGGGACCAGCCTCTCTCTTGCACTCAGGGAACATGAAAAACTGTTCATGGACGTTTGTAGAAATTGTTCTGCAGTGCTGTGTTGCCGCATGGCACCCCTGCAAAAAGCAAAGGTAAGTCAATATACAATATTAATGGTTATTTTCAAATATAAGAATGTTTACATTTGTAAACTATATTATTGCATTGATTATGATGACATTCTGCATTCCAAAGCTTATTATAAAGTTAAGTATTATGAACTTCTTCTCAGAAGAATAATTAGTATACCTGAAACCAGAGACATATTGCATAATAAAGGTTTGGTTCTCAAGCATTGGCTTAGCTGTTTGGTCATCTAACAGCATTGTCATTATTATTTATCTATTAAGTCCGTGTCAGTGGTGGTTCGGTCATTTGGGCAACCCTATCACAGTGAAAAATCAGAACATGAGATCTGTGTGTAAAATTTTATTTCTAAATCAGTTAATTTAACAAAATACGTCTTAGTGTGGCAAGTTGTTCAAGTGCTTCATGCTGTACAGTACATATTCCAGTAGGTGGTTTCAGAGAAGTAGGACTTATGTGAATAGTCTGGCAGCCACACCAGAGCAGTAGGGGGGATGCTGTTGCTAGTATCCCTAATTAATGAGTACATGGACAACTAAGCGTGAGCAAATTAATGTCCAAGCTAAATTTGGACAAGGACATGTCACTATTCACTAGAATTCATGTAGCAGAATAATGTATAGACTTGCTGGGGCCCCGGGGTGAAGCCGAAGACTGAACCCCAATGCCTGCATGGTGGGGTTCAGGTTACAGGTCCCCTGGGATTTGCCGCCCCCTCCCCCCCCGAAACCAGGGCGGTGGGGCTTGGGCAGGCTCAGGCTTCAGTGTGTCGTGTCCTCGTTCTCTCTCTCTCTCTCTCTCTCTCTCTCCATCCTCCCCCCCACCCCCCATGTAGTAATTTTTGTTGCCAGAGGGGGGTTGTGGTGCAATGAAATTTGAGAAACCCCTGAGCTAGAGCATTCTCTCTCAATCCAGGAAATTAATCATTCATTATTTCTTCTTGGCCATGTGTCTGTCTCAAGGAATGCTTCTCAAGTTGGAGTTTTCCTAGCACTGGTTAGAAGGTTCCTGTTCAGAATGTGTTTAATGTGTGCAGCAAAGATTTCGAGGACTGCTGTTCTCAGGAATGCACATAATTCTTGCATCCAGAGATACAATAGTGTTTCTCCATTTTACCTGTTCTACAGTTGTCCTGCCCAGTAACTAAACTGGGGCTACTCACTGACTGTCTGTCTGTCTGTCCTTTTTAAGGGATGTTTCTTACATGAACTTATCCTTTCTTCTAGTCTCACTTCTAGTATGTGAGAGGGTGCAAGATTCTTGTATAGCAATGATATGTCCTTCTGCCAAAGCACATCCTTTCCATTGTCTGTGCCAAAATACATATTTGATTACATTACTTAAGTACAGTGCAATAAAGGAATTGCTAATCTGGGGAGACTTCTGTACATATGTGTACTTTCCTTAGCTGTATTCATCATGGTTGAGTCTATGGAGTATTTCACAAAAGTTTTAGCATTCCCTTCCAGGTTTGCTATGTCTCCTGTTACACTACTAGTACCTTTCTAGGTTCTAGCCTTGCAATCAAAGACATTGGGGCTGCATTTCTCTTCCTGCACAAACCAAAGACAGTTCAAACGTGTCCAGAGGGCTTGGTCACACCCCTTATTCTTACACTAGATTCGCTCTGTCTCCATTGGTGCAAACAAAGCAGCAGTTTAGCATCCCCTGCCTTATCCATTGCAATCCTTAATGGTGGAGCAGTCCAGTCGGACCAAACTGAAGATCAAGAGGTGCTTCATCTGCAAAAGTGACCTTTTCAGGAGTCACTTCTCTTCTGAACTGTGTGGAAAGGATGAGTTTGTTAATCCTTTTCCATTAGCTTTTCCATTTAAGAATATATATGCAAGTCTTTTGGATGACTTTGTTAGTATATACCTCTACTACTCAACTTGATACTAATGCAAAAGATCACATACAAAGGAATGCAGCGCAGGCCATGTGATCATTTTGAGCAGTGTTGATCATGTCTATGGCCGTTTACCACCTGTTCAGGTATTCCCATATTCTCCTGTTTCCTGTTTGTTGTAAGAAGTTTAGGAAGTCTCCAGGGTTTTCTGAGATACAAGAAACATCCTTGGATTATTCCTGGCCCCTTTTATGATCTGGTTATTGTTTTCTGCATACTTCCCTTCAGCTATATAGCCTCCAAGAAAAGGAATTTAGTAAATACTGTATTTTCAGAGAGATTAAATGTATTGTAATTAAGCTTTAAGAGTTGAGGGAATTTCATGCAGTCTTGTCAAATTATGTGATGCTGAATTCAGAGAAATTAATCTCTCCTTAAATCTGCACATACCACCAGATAAGAGTTTTCTCCATAACCTACTCTGCATGATCTTGAGACCATATTATCAAGGGATTCAAATTTTGGATTATTCCCTGGTTGAATTTTCAATTTTCCCTTTGTTCAACAGCTATGGAATATCTCTGTTCATCCTAGTTATTTTGTATGTCTTTTATGTGAAAATACCAATTTTATAGTAGATGTGTTTTTTATATTGTAGTTTTTGAATCGGTAGCCTGTGAATTAATATGGGAAAACTGTGCTATATTCTTTTCCTACCCTTATTGAAAACAAGCTTTTCTTATGCTGTGTGGGATGATTTATATCATACAATTCAACTCCAGGATACAGTTGAGGTTTTTTCTTCCTGTCTTAAGTGTTTTTTCTTATATTTCAAGTTTTTTAGCATTCAAACTTTTTTCGTTTGCCTGTATTATGTATACACAGCATGATCTGATGGATGAATGAGTCTGTTTTCATAATCCCCCATGAAACCTTTTAAGAGAGTTAACTCTGTAGGTAACCTTTGAAGGTATTGTCTATCTGTTGCTCCCACTCCCTACTTGCATGAGAAGTAAAATTCAGTATTTTGATTAGATTAATAGTTGTAAAAGACAAGATGGTTATGTGGATTGTCTTCAAAGCTCGCATAGGAATACCTACCCAAGCTGTATTCACTTATTTGATTGCAATGTAGACATACCCTAAAAGTTATGTTAAAAAACAAGAGGCTTTTCCAATAGAGCTATGAATTTATGTGACATGTCCATTTATGTGACATGCTGGAGATACTCTTATCCAAGCATGCTTATCCCTGGGGATCACTGTTGGTTGCATTTATTTAAGCTACTCATGAATTAGTGACAGATTTATAACCTGAAAATCCCCCCACCCCCTCCTTTTTTTTTTCTTCTCTCTTCAGGTAGTACGACTGTTAAAAACATCTCCAGAGAAACCTATAACATTAGCCATTGGTGATGGGGCTAATGATGTAAGCATGATACAAGAAGCACATGTTGGCATAGGTAACTGACCTTTTTCAGAACTTTCACTTGATATAAATATTTAAGTTTTGTGTTCTTAGTAAAGCATTTTACTATATGTAGAATTAGTCTGTACTTTACTTTTAAACTGCTGAACTTGACATTTTTACACCTGAAAATGACAATACATCAATCTTCCAATCATTTTTAAACACACTTGCAGTTGCATGTTGTATGTCAGAATTTCAGTGGAATCTAAAATGGAAGACCATTCCCTTCTGAAGACAATATCTTAAATATCAATAGCTTGTGTCTGTTATACGGCACATCAGAATCTAGACCCCCATAAAGTGGTATTCTCTTAATTATCTCCAGCTGTTACTTAAGACACTATTGAATGTCTCTCTTGACACAGAATTGAAGCTATTACCTTTATATAGGTAACTAAAATTTTACCACCATAGATCTTTCATTACTATACACTGAACTTTAATTTTATATTGGTTAGTCACACCAATGTTTTCTTTCCATATGTGTGATTTTCTTGACTCGCCATGTTGAAAGGGGGCCTTACCCAATGTCTAGTGAAAAGAATCCAAAAATTTAAAAATCATTTAGTTTTATGTTGCACTAATAGAATAATACTTTATCAAGTAAGACTTCAGCCCATTTTACTAATCCATCTCTCTACTTTTTTGCAATATATAAATAGCAAAGTTATTAAGATTTAGATTTGGATATAATTAAATGCTGCTCTAGATTGTCTTCCACCTCTTATCCAAAAAGTGCTTAATTTTCAGTGCTGATTAAGGTGCAATTTAGGAAATAAATATAATCTTGCACATATGCAGAAAGGAAAGACAATAAAAAGAGTATCATGAGAAGAATGAAAATCTTATTTCTGCAGTCACTTCTGCAACTCGTTAATTTTCATTCTAGATCATTCTGTTATATTCTGCATGAATAAGAGAGGTTGATGTTGCTATTTAAAAAGAAGTGTAACAATCCTTTAATCCTTGTGGCACCTTAAAGACTAACAAATTTATTTGGGCATAAGCTTTCGTTGGCTAGAACCCACTTCATCAGATGCATGGAGTGGAAAATACAGTTGCAGTTATATATACATAGTACATGAAAAGATGGGAGTTGCCTTATCAAGTGTGTAACGAGACAATTGAATTAACAGTAGAATACCAAGGGAGGAAAAATCACTTTTTTGTAGTGGTAATGAGGGTGGCCCATTACAAAAACTAATTTCCCCATAAGAATTTCCCCCTACTGTTACTCACATCATCTTGTCAACTGTTTGAAATGGGCCACCCTCATTACCACTACAAAAGTGATTTTTCCTCCCTTGGTATTCTACTGTTAATTCAATCGTCTCATTAGACTGACCCCTCCCCCCTCCCCCTTGATAAGGCATTCTCTCTTTCTCTTGAAAGTCTGTTGCCGATCCACAGTTAAATATTGTAGATTTCACTTAACTTCCATCCTTTTTTTTCTGGGATGAAAGTGGATTATGACACACTTGCCACTTTTCATTCTGTTACTCTTTTCATATAAACTAATCCCACTAGCCTCTTAAGGATTGCTGTAACAACACCACCCTCAGAGTAACTGTAGGAGGAATTGCCATAAGGTCTTGAATATCCTGATGCGGCCTAGTAGCAACTCTTTCTGTGACAAGAAAAATCTACACAATATTCATTTATTATGGTGACTGTGAAGAGCACAGGACAACCTGCTTGAGAAATATCCAAGTAAATAGTAGATTGTCATCTATTGTCATAGTATGTGGTTAGTTCACATAAAAATGATGTAAGGAACATGAAATGATGTACAGTTATCCAAGTTCCATTTGTAATTTGTCCAAATAATTCTAGCAATGATACCTTTTACTACCTGTTTTTAGAGAAAAGCCTCTCTCTAAAACTGGGCGTAATAGGTAAATTCAAGGGTTGATGGTAGATTTGCACATTTTAAGTAAAAAAAAAAGTTAGTGATTCTGTATGCTTTATTGTTGCTGTACGTTCCCTTAACATATTTTCTTTTTATATAAACTGTCATTCAGGTATAAATGCAGTAGTATTTTGGTCTAACTGGTCCAGGGACCTTGAGTGAAGCTGATTCTCTAATTGTCTCCTATTTTTATCAATAGCTATTGGAGTCTTTAAAATGTGAAAGTGTATAGAAGATAACCTGTCGCTTTCAAATGTATATTTTCATAAATTTACTTTTTCTGCAGCGTTTACTCTAATTTCATTTATATTTTATGTCCCAAATATTACAGGAATCATGGGGAAAGAAGGAAGACAAGCTGTAAGAAACAGTGACTATGCAATAGCAAGGTTTAAATTCCTCTCCAAGTTGCTTCTTGTTCATGGCCACTTTTACTATATTAGGATAGCAACCCTTGTACAGTACTTTTTTTATAAGGTAAGTCTATTCAGTGTGCCAATGATGTTCAGTAGAACTAAAGATTCTTTTTCCTAGCCTAAAATGTGTCTCAGATTTAATTCTTGCAGTTAAATCACCAAAATATTAAATATCTCCCACCTTGGAGTGTCTGGGTGTTGATATACAACAGAGCACACCTGAAATGAGAGACCCATTTTGCTTCAGAATTCATGTGGAATACAGCTCACTGGAAGTATCTTTTAATATTGCAGCAGTGTTCACCTGGGCCAGTGTGCAGCTATTGTTACTCTACCAACTTGAAATCCAAGTAAATTTTAAAATGAGTTAAATCATCTTGGATACTACCCTGAGCCCAGTTCCTCTGTCAGTTTTTGTCATCTACAGTCACTTTTTCGCAAAAAGAACAGGAGTACTTGTGGCGCCTTAGAGACTAACATATTTATTTGAGCATAAGTTTTGGTGGGCTACAGCCCACTGCATCAGATGCATAGAATGAAACATATAGTAAGAAGATATATAGATAGATATATAGATATATACACACATACATAGAACATGAAAAAGTGAAAGTAGCCATACCAACTGTAAGAGGCTAATTAATTAAGATGAGCTATTATCAGCAGGAGAAAAAAACTTTTGTAGTGATAATCAAGATGGTCAATTTTAGACAGTTGACAAGAAGGTGTGAGGATACTTAACATGGGGAAATAGATTCAATATGTGTAATGACCCAGCCACTCCCAATCTCTATTCAAACCCAAGTTAATGGTATCTAGTTTGCATATTAATTCAAGCTCAGCAGTTTCTTGTTTTTTGAAGCTTTTGCCACCTTTAAGTCTGTTACTGAGTGACCAGAGAGATCGAAGTTTTCTCCAACTGGTTTCTGAATGTTATGATTCCTGATGTCAGATTTGTGTCCGTTTACTCTTTTGCATAGAGATTGTCCAGTTTGGCCAATGTACACGGCAGCGGGGCATTGCTGGCACATGATGGCATATATCACATTGGTAGATGTGCAGGTGAACGAGCCCCTGATGGTGTGGCTGGTGTGATTAGGTCCTATGATGGTGTCATTTGAATAAATATGTGGACAGAGTCACATTTTCCTTTTTTTTTTTTTAAAGTTTATTCTTCTACAAGTGATTGTCCCTTTTGTATTCCAATGAGGGATATGTGCATGTGCCCTTGAATTGCCTCGTGGTTTAGCCCGAGGCAATAAAGGGCGGGGCAGACAGACCGTGTCTCCAGTTCCTTCTCGCTGCCGCATGGTCAGGGTTGGAACGTTTGTTGATCTCTTGTTCTTAGTGTGCACTTTCAAAAAATTTTACCAAAATACTTCTTAATTTTTTTATAGTTAGGATTTTATTGTTGTAATTTGATAATTTCTTGGGACACCGCTTCTGCGTTTTTTCCCACCAAATAATTCCTTCCCACACCCCAGCTCCTAGGTCTGGGTTCTGGATTATGCCGAAGATGCCAAGATTCAAAGTCTGTGCTTCCTGCCATGGTTCATTTTCCATCAGCAACGAACACCAACGCTGTTTGTACTGTTTGGGTGAAGCCCACATCACCTTCTGGTGCAGTATCTGCCTCTCCTTCCATGCCTATACATGGGAGGGCCAAGCTCTCTACCTCAAGAAACACCTCATGGAGGTTGCCATGGAGCTGAAGTCGGATCCTGGCTGGAGACCCCCCATTGTACATCAGCCTGAGCAATCCAAGAGCATTCCCCCTACCGCAGAGCCTCCGTCTGGATCTGCCGGTACCAGTCCTACAGGCCCAGAGTAGGGGCCTAGCCATCAGCCACAGAAGTATGCGCAGAAGCATGGTAGTAAGTCTTCCTTTAAATCCAAGAAGGACACTGCATGTTCCACAAGTTCCAGGCATGGAGGAGCTACACATTCCATGGTGCAGAAGAGAGACGAGAGGCCACACCGCTTGCCAGATCCACTGGTGCCGGCACCAAATCCTCATATCCCTCCAGCATCCTGTGAATTGTTGGTCCTGAGACGGATGCCTTTACTAGTTCCAGTACCATCAATACACCGGACATACCATTGACTCCGGAGAGACTCAGAAGTGCTCCCAGCCCTCACAAACTGTTAGCTCTGGAAGGAGCAAGGTTTCTGCATATTCCAGTGCACTCACCTCTGCAGAGGGCTCCATCTCCTGCACTATATCTCCCATCCGCTGGCCGTACCTCTCTAACACATCTTGTTCTGTTGGTACTGCCATTCATGCAAGACTCCGACTCCTCTGAATCTGAGGGATCTGGACTTTTGGCACAGTGCCACTTCCATTCCAGAAACACGACTTTGCCTTACCCAAGTAGCTGGTATCCGGCTCCTTGGGCACAAGTACAACAGGATAAACTGGGTTGGCCATATTGGAGCTTCTGGCCCCAATATTCGTCTTCAGAACAGTCTTGTCTCCCCTGTTTCACCACCCCATCTTTCATCCGGTAGACATTCGGAAATGGGGTTAGACAAGGCACCGATCAGCCCAGCTCTGACAGTACTGGGGGATCCAGGGAGATTCCCTTCGTCGTCTCCAGACACAGCTGTGTCATCGACACCTTCCTCCCTGCCAGATGACTATCGTCAGTTTCAAGAACTCCTATGGAGAATAGCCAATACCCTTGATATCCCACTGGAAGAAGTCCAGGACACTTACCACCAGTTAACAAGACATTCTGAACACGTCATTACAGGCAAAGGTGGTCTTACCCAACATTGATGGGTTTCTTCAACCAGCACACATCATGTGGCATACCCCAGCCACATTTGCATCGACCCCAAAGAGGGCCAAGAAAAGGTACTACATCCCCCCAAAAAGGGTCAGAATTTTTATTTTCACACCCTCCACCTAACTCCATGGTAATACAAACTGCGTCGGAGCAGACCAAACAACAACACACGCTCCACCCCGGCAGACTGGAAGCATAAGAGACTGGACCTCATGGGTCAGAAGGTCTTCTCCTTGACTACAATTCTGGATCTCTAGCTACTTGGCACTGATGGCCAAGTATACACTCTGGCCGGATGGAGAAATTTGAAGATCAATTACCTCAGCAGGATCATACTCGATTCCAAGCAATTTTACAGGAAGGCAAATTGGTCGCCAGTTCCATACTTCAGGCTCCAGTTGATTCAGCGGATACGTCCTCTCTTGTATTGGCAACTGGAATTGTCATGAGGAGGTAATCCTGGTAACACTCCTCAGGTTTCCCTAGAGAGGTAAGAACACAAACGAGGATCTTCCCTTCGGTGAATCACACCCCTTCAACCAGAAAACTGATGATTTCTTACACTCACTTAAAGAACCACCTTATGATCCTGGGGCATATATACACTGGCACCAAAGAGAAAATGTTATCACCTACCACCAGCCCAGTGCTATAGAACTCCACACTTATAAGAACATAAGAATGGCCGTACCGGGTCAGACCAAAGGTCCATCTAGCCCAGTGTCCTGTCTACCGACAGTGGCCAATGCCAGGTGCCCCAGAGGGAGTGGACCAACAGGCAATGATCAAGTGATCTCTCTCTTGCCATCCATCTCCATCCTCTGACAAACAGAGGCTAGGGACACCATTCCTTACCCGTCCTGGCTAATAGCCATTAATGGACTTAACCACCATGAATTTATCCAGTTCTCTTTTAAACGCTGTTATAGTCCTAGCCTTCACAACCTCCTCAGGTAAGGAGTTCCACAAGTTGACTGTGCGCTGCGTGAAGAAGAACTTTCTTGTATTTGTTTTAAACCTGTTGCCTATTAATTTCATTTGGTGACCCCTAGTTTTTGTATTATGGGAAAAAGTAAATAACTTTTCCTTATCCACTTTCTCCACATCACTCATGATTTTATATACCTCTATCATATCCCCCCTTAGTCTCATCTTTTCCAAGCTGAAGAGTCCTAGCCTCTTTAATCTCTCCTCATATGGAACCCGTTCCAAACCCCTAATCATTTTAGTTGCCCTTTTCTGAACCTTTCCTAGTACCAGTATATCTTTATGTAGATGAGGAGACCACATCTGTATGCAGTCTTCGAGATGTGGGCGTACCATCGATTTATATAAGGGCAATGATATAGTCTCTATCCCCTTTTTAATGATCCCTAACATCCTGTTTGCTTTTTTGACCGCCTCTGCACACTGTGCGGACATGTTCAGAGAACTATCCACGATGACTCCAAGATCTTTTTCCTAACTTGTTGTAGCTAAATTAGCCCCTATCATATTCTTTGTATAGTTGGGGTTATTTTTTCCAATGTGCATTACTTTACATTTATCCACATTAAATTTCATTTGCCATTTTGTTGCCCAATCACTTAGTTTTGTGAGATCTTTTTGAGGTTCATCACAGTCTGCTTTGGTCTTAACTACCTTTAGCAGTTTAGTATCATCTGCAAACTTTGCCACCTCACTGTTTACCCCGTTCTCCAGATCATTTATAAATAAATTGAATAGGATTGGTCCGAGGACTGACCCTTGAGGAACACCACTAGTTACCCCTCTCCATTCTGAGAATTTACCATTAATTCCTACCCTTTGTTCCCGGTCTTTTAACCAGTTCTCAATCCATGAAAGGACCTTCCCGTTTATCCCATAACAACTTACTTTACTTAAGAGCCTTTGGTGAGGGACCTTGTCAAAGGCTTTCTGGAAATCTAAGTACACTATGTCCACTGGATCCCCCTTGTCCACATGTTTGTTGACCCCTTCAAAGATCTCTAATAGATTAGTAAGACACGATTTCCCTTTACAGAAACCATGTTGACTATTGCTCAACAGTTTGTTTTTCTATGTGTCTGACAATTTTATTCTTAACTATTGTTTCGACTAATTTGCCCGGTACCGACGTTAGACTTACCGGTCTGTAATTGCTGGAATCACCTCTAGAGCCCTTTTTAAATATTGGCGTTACATTAGCTAACTTCCAGTCATTGGGTACAGAAGCCGATTTAAGGGACAGGTTACAAACCATAGTTAATAGTTCCACAACTTCACATTTGAG